AATGGGGTGGGTGGAACTCCAGGCAGTCTGAGAGAGAAATAATATTTTTTAAAATTGGCATGGGAAAAATAGTTGCTTTTTCTAACATGATTTGACTTGGGTGATCAGAAATTAAGCAGGTAGGTCTGGTGAGTTCTAAGTGCTACATTTTGCATTAACATCTGTCCAACCCATGACAGGGGTCAGTCTCCTGCTGAGGAAGGAAGGTGCAGAGAGGGAATGATGCCTCTGCTGACTAAGGAGAGACACAGGGAGGCTGAGGGGAAAAGCCCAGGGATTCAGTGCCCCCTGCTCACCGGAACACTGCTCTCTGGACCTCCCACCACCTGGGCCTTCACTCCCTGGGGCTGCCCATCACTGCACACCCCTCTCATGGAGCCTCCCCCACGGGTACATGCCCAGCTTGGAAGAGGAGGCTGCGAGCACAGAGCCCTCCCGAGGCACAGCCATAGCTGCCCTCCTTTGGGCAGAGGCCACAAGACCCTTCCCCTACAGCAAAGCAACCCTGAAAGCTTGAATTGCACACACAGCGTGACTCTTGGGTCCTCACATGCTCTCTCAGCTTTCTAAACATCTTCCCTTCAAAAGGGTAAGCAATCTTTCACCCACTTCACCTGAGACACCAGAACTCCACGACTCACCCAAACTCTCAACACTTCCTTGTGCCCCTGCCATTTGTCCTTACTCAAGGCAAGAAACAACACCAGTATCAAGAGATTTGTATTTTATGTTCCTCTCTGATGTAGCCTCACACACTTAAACACCATAATTTGACCTTCTGCATCTCAGGTTCACGAAACGCAGACAAATCAATTTTGGGGGCTGCAGGATGAACATAGCTCCTCTCCATGGGGTTCTTCAATGAAGGATTAATTAGCTGAGGATATTCACAGCACTACAGCTGCAATGCTACAGGCAGGGCCACACCAGAGGAGCCCCAGGAGCAACTCCAGCTTCCCAACTCAAGCACAGAAATAGTGTCAGGCACTGGGGGAGCACCAACCTCCTGCCCCCTGAGATGTCACTGCAAGGGCAACACAGCACAATCCCTGTGCTCAATTCAATGATTTCTGTGGGCAGGGCAGGCCCAAGCTGTCAGGAAGCAGCTGTGAAGGCTGGGCTCACACTGCAGGTGGGAGCAGAGCCCCCCACCACAGCCCTCAGTACCCCACCTGTTGTGCCCACAAAGGTGGGGAGAAAGAGAAGAAGAAAGGGAGAGGGGGGAAAAAAGGGGGTGGGTGGAACCCCAAGCAGTTTGAAAGAGAAATAATATTTTTTAAAATTGGCATGGGAAAAATAGTTGCTTTTTCTAACCATGAGACCATGGAGCTGTCTACAAGCACCCCGATCACCTGCCAGCCCTAAATGGGACATTTTAGATTTAACCATCCTGAGCTGACCCGAGCTAGCTCCACCAGCCTCCCTAATTCAAAGTACAACCTCTCTGAGTCCTCTCCTTGCTTTGCTGCCTGATTTGCCTCCCGGGTGCTCCAGGACAGGCTGTGTGATGTAAATCAACCTGCTCGAGGCTGGATTTTTCTAGGGCTGAGAGGATTTGGCACCTTTTATTACTCACTTGTAAGGTGAGTCCCAGAAATACCACAAACAAGCCCAGCAGGCTGGCTGAGGAGGGAAGGATGTTCATCAGCCATGTGTGCTCTGTTCCTTGGATAAAGAGCACGAAGTTAAAGCCTTTGCACTTCTGGGGCAGTGAGAAGAGCCTGGCAGCACTTCCCAAAGACCTGCTGCATGTCTGAGCTTTGACGTCTTCTTCCAAAGGGTTTCTTCAGCTCAGCTTGCTGTTTGTAAGCAAATCTGACAGCAAAGTCTCATCTGACAGAGCAACAGGTGCAGTGATCACGACAGTCAGCACATCCACCAACCCAGGCAGGCACAGGGATGTGTTCCCAGCTCTTCTGGAAGGACCAGATGTGCCTCATTGCACTCCATGAGGCAGGTGGGAGAAATTCAGGGGCACACAACACTTGCTAAAAAGCATCATCCGTGCAAGACCTAAACTACAGGTCCAATTCCATTTCTCTTCAACCCTGCAGAGGCAAACAGGCTCAGAGGAGCTCGGGGACAGGTTGTGGTTTTAGGCTGCTGTAAAGCACACGAGAAGAGCACCCTGATTTCTCTAGTCCTGCAGGAAGGGGCAAACCCTCTCAGACGGCTGTGCGGCCAGGAGAGAGGCTCCAAGGCTGCCTGATGAGGGCAGAGCTCCCAGCTGCGATGGGCTCTGCTCCCTGACAAGCCCCACGTGGCCCCGGTGCTGTCCCTGGGGATTAAAAGGAGGACCGGAGCAAGGTTTGGGGATTTATATCGGCTGTGCCCATGGAGGGCGAGTCCCCGCTGGAGCAGTACCTAGACAGCTATAGCGGGCAGGTAAGGGAGCAAGGAAAAAAATAAAGTGAGGGGGGAAAAAAGAAAATAAACCTAAACAAAAAGGAAACTGCGTTGGCCGGGAATCGAACCCGGGTCAACTGCTTGGAAGGCAGCTATGCTCACCACTATACCACCAACGCCGCGCTGAACTCAGCCCCGCAGCCGCGCCTTAACTGCGGCGATCCTGCTGGGCTGAACCCCAAATCCCGCTGTCCCGAGGGATTCCTCCTGTCCAGGAGCACGGAGGAGCAACCTGGAGCTTTTTCTCCCTGTAAGAGGGATGATACGGCTGTGTTTAAACTCTTGCTGTGGGATGCTGCTTGCGAGGCTCAGCCTGGGCGCTGGTGCAGTGTGCACTGAGAGGGTGCGAGGCTCGTGTCTCCTCGTTCGGGTTGATAAATGTCTGCAAAAAATTGTTATTTCGGTATTTGGTATGGTCGTCCTGATCTCAGGTGGCTGTAGGAACAACAGGGTGAGGGGCTGGAGGATAGGGTTGGACTCCACAGCTGAGTATTATCATTACTCGGGAAGCAAAACTTCTTTGCATCCTGTTGTAAAGTACTTTTCAGCTCAGCAAACAGGCTTAGCACAAGCTGTTTAAATCCTAGAGACCATCCTGTGCCAGTGGGTAAAGCCCTCTGAATGTGCCCTCACAAAGTATATAATGTGGTAAGGTATAATACAGCTTTTACAAATGCTAATGAGCTTTTTATATTTAGACTTGCTGGAACACTTGATAATAGCAGATGTGTGATATCACTGCAAGGAGGGGAAGAAAAAAAAATCTAAGTCTGTTGCTTAAGGCAGCTGGGTTTGATTTGTGTCTACCTGAGTTGCAGGGATTTCTGCAGTGAAAGTGGAAAAGGCTGTTTCCCCTCAAGCTGCCCCAAACCGAGGGATTTCAGACAGGATCTGTGTGTGAAATCTCCCCCCTGGAGCTGCTGGGAGATATCCAAAGCTGTGCAGTTGGTGGGGCTTTCGGTGAAGTTAATTAACCCAGAGTCTATAGCAATAACCCTTGGCAGCCAGCCCAATGCAAACATGGTCTTGTGCCCCTTTTGCAGCCTCTGAGCATCTGTCTGACATGAAGAAAATATTCCCCAGTGCTTAACCCTATCAGGGCTTTTCCTCAGACCTCTTAGGTGCAAACCTGAGCAGAAAGGAAAATTTGCTTTCTGTTTCTACCTGCTCCAGGCAATTTACTCTACTTTTTGGAAACTTTACAGCTCTGTGATACTTCCAGCCTCATGCACCACTCATTTCTCTATCAGTTTCTTTAAGATATGTCACAAATTGACTTTGGTTGGTTGTTTGTGGGTGTTTTTTTAATTGTTATGTTCATTCTTTGATGCCCACTAGTGTGATGTGAGTAGTCTCACAAGGGAGCTTTTGTACCATTTTCTCTACATTGTGGTTCATATAAAACCTCCCTAATGAGCTGCTGAACATCTAATCCTTCATCCACTGGATTTCTTGTGGAGACTGTGACTTCCTTCCCTTGCTGCTGACTTGAGAAATATCTGTTTAAAATAGATGTATTTTTGTGATTCCATAATGTTTTATTTGTAACTGTTAATTACATATTTAACCCTTTTTTCTAAAGGGTAAAGGAATACCTAGACTTATTCAACAGCACCCTGCCCCCCCCCAGATCTTCTGTGGAGCTCTGTAATTTAAAAGCAATTTTAAATGTAGGTGTTGGCAATGCTTTCCTGATTACATCTGTATTCAGGCTGGTGAGGGTCCTCTGGGAGGATTTGTCACTTTGTCAGAGTTTTCCAAGTGTCTGCAGGTAAATATACTGCAAAGAAGGAGCAGAGATCTCCCCATGAGCATGGCTGGGTTGCCAACTGAGCTGACTTAGAAGAGAGCAGCACTAGCTCAGGGCTGGGAAGCATTGATCTGGAAATGCTGCTCCAGGTCAAGCAGCTGCTGCCAACTTGAGAGCCTCAGTCTTACGCACCATTCCCTGCTCTGATTTGTGTTTGGACTTTTCAAGTCCTTCTGGCTCTTGAGCCTAAAAATGCCTGATTAAACACAAAACCTCTTGTATGGATTCTTTAGTCCAAGCTGTCACCTGCTGTGGATGTTGGCAGAAACTCCCTTCAGAAAGAGGCTTATGCACCAATGGAGAGGAGGGAATAAATCCCACCCTGAAACTCTTACCTCACTGACATGATGATGCTTTTTAAACAGCTTTTAGTAATAAATAGTTGACAAAGAAGGACATTAGTATGAAAGAGCTTACTTGCAGGTGTGTTGTGTGCTTGGTGCAGGGCAGGATGCTGGTTCAGCTGACTGTGGTGAGGCTTTTTTTAGTCCCATCTTCTCATCTATAGCTTCAATCAGGCTGGTGGCCTCCAGGAGCTGAGGAATGAGCTGCTGCTGGTTCTGTGAGCTGCTGCCCTCTGTTGCACAAAACAACGCTGACACTGTCCCCTGCAGAGAGAGGAAATGGAATAATTTACAGAATGGGAGATAAAGACAGCCAGAAAATGTTGTCTGTCTTCCTTGGAAAAACTTATGAGCATGATAAAGCAGTTGTGTGCATGGCTGAGGGGGGTGACAGTGGCTGTGAAGGGTGAAGTGCCAGTGTTACACCTGCATTTCTCAATTTCTGCTGTCCCAGAAGTTCTCTAGGATGCCCAAGGGCTGTGGTAGGAAAATGCATTATACAAGCTATCCGGATTTTTATACACTCACAGAGAAGCAAAGCACTTTCCATTTTAAAACTAGCCTTTGTTAAAATATATATTGGGGGAAAATTACTGAAACTTCCTCATTGAAGATTAATCTTAAGATTAATCACTGAGGATTAATCTTAATTTACTCTGCCAGTTACAGAGTTACAGTCTTGCTTTAATACAAGACCTTTAATGGCACTTTTTCTTCATTCAAGGATGACTTCTCCACTAGTCCTCATCTGTTCACTCCTATGAACCTTTATGATTTAGAACTTCCAATTCAAACAGCTGAAGATGGGGTGTTCGCTTCCCAGTTCAGTCATTCCAAGGAGCTCTGTACAGACTTCTCCTCCGTGGATCTCAGCTTTCTCCCAGATGTTACCCAAGACAACAAAGAACAAAACCTCTCTGAGGATGGTCACAAAACGCAAAAAGAGCTTGATGGGTCACCAACAAGTAATGAGGACAGTGGTGTTTTCATGGATGAAAGCAGCTTGTCACATCCAGGCGCAGCTCAGCCATCTCCTGAGGCACCTGGTGTGTGTCCTCCCATGACTCCGATGACCCCAGCGATATCTCCCTCAGAAAGTTCTGGAATAGTCCCTCAGCTACAGTAAGTTATGTATTATTTATGTAGCACACACCATAGTCAGAGTCTGGCTTAAACTGCAAGGTGTTGCTCTGACTTTTCACTTGGAGGATGTAGCAAGCACAGCTCAGTCTTAAATAAGCCAAAAAACTACAGGAGCAGTTGTTCATTTTGAAGGGGAGAGGTGGAGAAAATGAATTATCAATATTGGATAAAAATATGAAGGTACTTGACTAGGAGGATTTCTTCCAGGAAGGAGAGTGTGAAGGATGACAACAGACTCCAGGGGTTTAAAGATGTCACTTTGCTTTTTCAAGAGAAACAGAACAGTCTGTGAGAAACTCTGGCCCTCATTAAAAGGTGCTGTCCTGTCTAGGACAGACCAACTCTAGAGTAGTTTATACTTGTAGAAAATAACCCATCCACACCCACCTTAGGTGCTGTTGCAACTCTAAATAGTCAATAATGGTTCAATCCAAAGCTGTGAAAGACTTCAGTGACACAGTTTTTGGAAGACACACAGACTTATAATTCAGAGGCTAATAATTTCATGCCTTGTTCTATCTCAAAGTGCACTTTTGGGATTGAATTACTTAAGTTTTGCCAGAAGCAGCTTAAAGCTAGAGTGGAGAAGAGACAGGCAGGAAATCAGTTGATGGCAATTATTAATTGGAATGTGACTCCACGTTAAGCCAGTGCTGCTGGGGGGTGGCTCTGCAGTGGCTGGGTTTTGCAAGGAGAAAATTCCTCCCTCATTCCTCAGGAATATCGTGTCAACTGTAAACTTGGCTTGTAAACTGGATCTGAAGAACATAGCTCTGCATGCCAGAAATGCAGAGTACAACCCAAAGGTAAATCTTGGACTCAAAGCTTTACCCTCACTTCCCTTTCCCAGTGCTGATGGAACCCAATGGTCCCATGACTGTGGTCTTAACACTCCTGCTCCTAACGAACAACAGCCCTCATCTTCAGTTCAGGAAAAATGGTCTGCACAGGAGCAAAGAGGTATTTTTCAGGTTTTTTCCCTTCCCAGGCCCGGGTCTTGCAACTATCAAACATTCTCCATCAGAATATATGCAAAAGTCTTGTTTAAAATATCTAACAAAGGACTAATTGCAAGAAAAAGTGAAGCACTGATATTGAAAATCTTGCTTTCTTCATGATGGCACCTTAGCAATTTCTGAACTGTGTACTTCTGTCCCTGAATTTAGATTGAGCTAAGCGGACATTGGTAGAAAAGCTGCTAAAATTCCCAGAAATTAAGGGATTATTTGCATTTCTCACTGATTTTAAAGTGTTTAGGACATAGCTTGTGTCTGTCAAGTCTCTCTTTAGTGTCTGTGTTCAAGAGTCAACACATCTGCCTCTAGAGGAAATGGGAATTGGGGAAAGCAAAAGTTTATTTCTGTACTCTGAATCTTTTTATCCTGAAGTCCAGCAGAGATTTCCTTGGTTTTTATACCCCAAAACAGTCAATTAGAATTAACTCATGCTTAAGAGACCTCTTCCCCAGCCCCTAGCACCACCCCAGGTAGGTGACTGTACTGGTCCCTGCAGTCTAACTCCTGGATCAGCACCGAGAAGCTGTTTTGAGGAACTGAAAGCCTCTCAAAAGGGGAACCTTTGAGTGATGAAACCTCTCCAGTGGGTTCCACCAGACCACAGGAAGGTGAATGAACAAGTGCCTTACTCCTTTTAGCTCCCTGCAGCTCTTCTGGGGATGGAACCTTGCTATTCTGAGCATCAGGATCTCTTTTTCTGGAGTGCAGATTAGCACAGTGGTGGCTATAAACTGAATTCCACCTTGTTGGTGTTTAGGGAGAGCACTAATAAAAGTTGATTTTTCCCCTTTGCTCTTCCTTCAGTGAAAAGCCCCATCCCTGGAAGTGCTCCAGGCCAGGTTGGATGGGGCATAGAGCACCCTGGAATGGTGGAAGGTGTCCCTGCCCATGGCAGGGGGTGGAACAAGATGGGCTTTAAGGTCCCTTCCAGCCCCAACCATTCTGGGATTCTGTGATTCGAGGGCTGTTTGAAGATTACAATAAAGGTTTCTTCCTCTAGTGAAGAGCAGTCAAGGCTGGCAGCCAGGAAATACGCACGGGTGGTGCAGAAGCTCGGCTTCCCTGCCAAGTTCTTGGACTTCAAGATCCAGAATATGGTGGGGAGCTGTGATGTGAGGTTCCCCATCCGGCTGGAAGGCTTGGTTCTCACCCACCAGCAGTTCAGCAGGTATGAGGAGATCAGGTACAACCCTGTGCACTTTGCAGCAGGGTCTGCAGCTACTGGAGCCTGGTCCATGCCTTGGCTCCACTCTGGATTTTAGTACCAAGGTGGCCTCTTAACTCCCAGCAAAGCAGATTCCTGTCTGCAAGGATTTCTAACCTTCAGACATGAAGCCAAACTGCATTTGCAAAATACAGAATTGCAGGTATATTGTGTTTTTCTGGGATATTGTTTTGGTTCTATTTGGATATTCTTTAGCCAAGAATTGAAAGTAAAGCTGTAGCTGAGTGATGGGCATGTTGTGCCTGTGAGATCAGCTTGTCCAAAACTAGATATTGCCGTCAGGAAAGAATGATTTCAGCACTGACAAAACCAAAATTCAGTTGTCTTTTATTAGCACTGCATCTAATAGTTTCCATTTCATTTAGGAATTAAATATACATTAAATATTTATGTTGGCTGTTATCTTGTCTTAGTTGCACAAGATGCTTCCTGATAAGGGCTCTTTGCAGACTGAGGAAGGATTTACTGTGAGGGTGGGGATGCCCTGGCACAGGGTGCCCAGAGAAGCTGTGGCTGCCCCTGGATCCCTGGAAGTGTCCAAGGCCAGGCTGGATGGGGCTTGGAACAACCTGGGATAGTGGAAGGTGTCCCTGCCCTCAGCAGGAGGTGGAACTGGGTGATTTTTAAGGGCCATTCCATGACTTGAGGACTGTTTGAAGATTGCAATAAAGGTTCCAGTGTTATGACAAATGAGAAGTGGCTCACAAGTCTTTAGAAGACATCATGGAGATCCCTCACCAACTCCAGCTGGGTTTAACAGGTTTCCCTTCAAGATGTCCAAAACCTGGCCTGCCTTTCTCAGGGCAGCTAGATAAAACCTGTGTGGTTAATTACCCAATTGTTACTGTAACTAAAAAGCACTTTATTTATACTTTATTTATTTACACTTTATTTATACAACACTGAAACAGCATTTGTATTTTACTAATCTTACCTGCTTGCTTTGAACAGCTATGAACCTGAACTATTCCCTGGCCTGGTTTACAGGATGGTCAAACCAAGGATAGTGCTGCTTATCTTTGTGTCTGGAAAAGTTGTACTGACTGGTAAGTGATGCCTCTCTATATCTGTAGCCCACTGCTTCACTTTCTGAGAGAGCATTTAAATTAAACTTTAACTAAAAATCAGTATCCTGCCACAGCAAAGCCACTCAGGGATCTTTCTAATGGCTGCTGCATCTTATCTGTGTTTTCTGTAGATACCATCAGTGTTGTTGCACTGGAATCTTGTCATGTTTCATATACAGAGTCTCAGATTTCCATGTTAAGTATTTTTTTTTCATTCAAAGCCTGATGCCACATGCCAACACAGAGAATGCCAACAGGATGCTGACATGCCAGCAAACTACTCAGGCACTTAAATAGGAACCTCACAATAAGCAATTTAGAATTGCTTGGACAGGAAACAAACGTCTTAAAACACTTCACTGACAACATTTAGTAGGGATTATCAGAGGAAAGGGTGGAGATCTATGAGCTTGTTCCAGGCTGTTTGGAAAAAAATCACGAGGCAAAAGCCTTGCTGAGTCAGTTGTGCTCAGCAGATACCTGTACCTCAGATCCCAGGTCAAAAAAGGTGAATTCCTGAGCTCTTGGCACATCCTTTTTGTGAAGCTCATGAAACTGCTCCTATTCAGATGTACTTGAAAGGTAGATGATGCTTGTTCCCAGAAGCTCTGAATGCAGTATTCATATTCACAACACAGCTTTGAGACATGTAGAAGGCAAGAGAAGTGCTGCCTGCCTTAGCCAGAGATTCTCACAACCATAAATCAGGAATGAGCTCAGTGAACTGAAAGATGGGGCACACAGGACAAAGCTTAAATTCTTCCCTCTCTAATGTCCTCCATTTTCTTAGGTCTTAATAAAATCATACTGGTCAGTTCCATTCCACTGATGCTTGCATTTTTTGGGGTACACTAATTGTAATGCCCTTGCTTCAGGGCCTGCTGCACATTGTCCTTTTCTCTGAGTATTGGGCCCAGCTGTGATGATAAAACTGAATTCTCTGAGCTTTGGGATTTTTTTCCCTAATCAAGAAAAGTTACTTTACTTTTGAAAGTAAAAGCTGTGATAAGGCAGATTATTTATGTCCAAGTGAGGACATGAGAAAAGATTTACACATTCAACTTGAGTAGGGCTTAATTCCTTTTAGTTCATTTAAATGCAGTTTTCTTGTAGCTGATGTTTGTTGGACCAGCATGAGCAGTGTTGCTGGAAGGGAATGTTCCTGCCTACTGCAATGCAGTTTGTGTGTAAGACTTGGTATTAAAGATTTGTTTACAGTACCACAAAAAGGGATTTGAAATCAAAGGTGTCTTAACACACAGCTTAAAATTAAAATTGCTTCTCAGAGCTGGAGAGTTCTCAAACTGTGGAACAACTCTCAGTATGAAATAAAGGCCTTTCACTTCTTGTTTCTACCTTTCCCTTTACCTTATGGACTGGCAGAGCTGTTATGCTTAAGCATATAACACCATGGTGGTGCTCAGTTGCTTTTTTTCCTTCTTCAAAGCCAGTATTTTACACCTGTCAAGAGAAAAAAAATGCTGTTTTGCTTCCACAAATTAAACAAAACTAGTCTTAAAGCTAAGCAAGCTAAAAATTATTCTTTGAGGTGGCAGATGAAAATTCTGCATTTATTAGTAAAGTGTTTTCAATCCCCTGGGTTTCTTCATGGATTGTAATCCTACTGGGTTTAAACTGCATTCAGTTACTCTCAGCACTGATAATTCATGGGTTGTTTTGTCTTTGTTGTTTGGTTTTTTTTCCTTAAATGTCCATTTAGGAGCAAAAGACCGTTCTGAACTCTATGAAGCATTTGAGAACATCTACCCCATTTTAAGAGGTTTCAGGAAACCATCGTGACACGGCTCACAGAACAATCCAGAACAACACCTGGGTTTGTGCTGCTGTGCATGGAACAGAAGCCAAGAGGATTCCTGGACCCATTTGTTGTGGATTATTAAGCAAATTATTCATTTCTGAATGCCACATATGCTGATGCCTTTCTATAGCTTGTGAAATGTTCTTTTCTTTCAGATTATCTGTCTGTAATCCACCTGAGTTTGGACAACTCTTGTCAAGTTACAGCACTTGATAAGTGAACACACTTTTAATAGAATGTATATTAAGGTAGCACTTTAAAATATTTTGTAATAGGAGCCATGTGCCTCTCTCCTGTTGAACAGGTGAATCCACACTGCACTTCATGTGCAGTGAAAATCCTCAACTTTAAGTGTCCTGAAATGCTTCTGCAGTGTTGTAGCTTCATGTTTTTAAGCTCAACATATATTATTGTCTATAACATGGCTTACAAAATCCTCCATGAGTTAATTTTGGTGTTCAGAAGACATGTACTGAATCACTCTGATCCCACTGGCTGGGTAAACTCCTTGTGTGTGATAGTGCAGGATTTTCCTTCACAGAGAAGATATTGCAGCTCCTGACTGCTGGAATATACCTAGAAAAATCTGTAGGTGGAGGGTAACTAATTAAATTATCTAATTTGAGACGGGACCAGTTAGATTTTAACTAAATGGTATCCACTTGTATTACTGAAATACCCTTAGATCATGTGAGTTTGGCGCAGACAAAACCACGCTGGTTTGGAACTTTGTTAAAAATAGATTTGAGGAAAATATGCAAAGTCTTGGATACTCATGACTTAATTATCTGTATTATTTAAGCAGAATTCAGCCAATGGCAGTACATTTGGTAATTTTTGAGCAAAAACAATGGGGCTTCCTGTATTTGGTTTGAACTCAAGCCTTTCTTTTCAGAAGGTGTCTTGCTCAGAGTGGTTCTGGGAGCAGGAACAGTGCAAAGCCGATCCCACGGCTGTTCTGGAAAGCCCCTGGAAGCAAGCCAGAACAGTCTGTGTTGTGTTCTTCCCTCCTGAAGGTGTGGTACCTGTCTGGAAACACCACTAGAGGCTGCTCTTAGATGACTTAAGTGTAACCCAGGCCAAAATCCTCCTCTGTTCTTACTGGAAATACTCGGGATGGGCTATGGCTCAACTCAAAACAGGGTCTTGCTGGGCTTAATTACTGCCACAAAAGTTTATTTCTGATTCGGCGAGGGTGTGACTTCATCGTTGGTATCTGTTATGTGTCTCTCACAAGTGTTTTTATATCTATCTCCCTGCTTCTCTGGAAAAGAGTTAGAAAAACTTTGTGCACTTCCTCATGATAAGCTGGTCTTAGCTGTTATCGGTTTCTCTGTCAAACTGTGGATTTCCACACTCAAGTCAATTGTAAACACAGGCTTACTTTTCTATTTGCTTTCTAACACTGGAAACTTTCCATAGCCATGGGCTGGACTTTTATTTGTGCCGTAGCTGTAGGAGCAGCTGATGAGCTTTAGTTACAAAAGATTACTGTAAGTGAAAACACCTGGTTTTATTGAGGTGTTGGTGGGGGAAAAAGGTTTATCTAAGATGAGCCCTCTTCAAGAAATCACATTTTGGTTAAGAGCTTGCCACACGATTTCAGTGGTAAAATTAGTGCTGTTTAGAAGCACGGATAAAGCCTTTGAGATAAGAAATGGGCTCTGTGCCTTTTCACTGATTAACTTCATGTTTGCTATGGTAACTCTTGTCTTAAAAACAACAATCTTGATTGTACCTCTACAGTGCTTAGTGTTTGATAACACTGGGATGGGGAGAAATATAGGCTGGGAATTGTTCTTTAAAAAAAAAAAAAAAAGTTGGACAATGTTTTGTTGCAGTTGCATTTCTTTTGGGAAGGGGGATATGGGGATATTGCTGAAGTTATTCTGGCTTCTGTGGACTCTCATGGCCTGGTGTTTCTCACTACAGACGGAAGATGGAATGGCTTCAAACAGAGTAGGTTCATATTAGGAAATATTAGTTATCAGGAAAAAGTTCTTTACTCAGAAGGGGGTGCTGAGGCCCTGGCACAAGCTGCTCAACCAAGGCCAGGTTGGACAGGGCTTGGAGCAGCCTGCTCTAATGGAGGCTTCCCTTTCGAGGTCAGGAGTTTGGAACTGGATGATTTTTAAGGTTCCCTTCCCTGATCCAGAGCTGCTCCCTCCTCCTCAGCCCTACATCATCCCCTGTATTTAACTCCTCATTGTCGCTCCACCATGGAGGCCGGGTTGAGTCAACCTTTCCCCTGCGTCGTTTTTAAGGATGTGCAGCGGTATTTGCTACTTGGCCAAAGCGATTTGGATGTTACTGTAAATACACGGCCGTGCTTTGGTTGGTAGCCATAGTCCCACGGCAGCGTTACTGCTACGGCTACCCGCTGAGCCCTACGACCCAGCATACAACACCCCACATCGCTCTGAGAGCAGGACAGGGGTGATGCCTTTCCTTCTGCAGAAGGAGAAAGGCGCAGTTCCTATTAAAAATCGGGATTTTCCCGGCGGAGCGCGGCCCGTCCCGCGCCCTCCCCCGCTCCCGCCCGCCGCCTCAGCGCCCCTTCCCACAATGCCCTGC